TGTTTGCGTCTTATAGATTTTATTTTATTTATTTATTTTTTTTATCTTTTGATTTGTATTAAAGTTTAGACTTCTAGTCTTAGAAGGAAAAAACTCACTGGGATGAAAACTTTGTGATTTGCATATATTAAATTTTTTTCTTCCCTTTTTAGTGAATTGGCATAGGTTACTCATTTTTGAGCAGAAATTACTTTTGGATTTTGTTAAAAGCTTTTTGCTTGTTTGTTCCTGTGATCTTATGACTTTAACTACAGCATCATGACTATCGTGAGGGGTTTGGCTTATTACTAACATCATAATATTGTTTTTTAGGATAGAATTTTTGGAATAGAAGATGGTTGCAGAATCGTGGTTTCGTAATTTGTGGAAAATTTCACGGAAGCATGAAGGTGGTCCTGAGAAGGTGGAAATTGGAGTGTTGGCATTTGAAGTTGCTAGCTTGATGTCCAAGATGGCGTATTTATGGCAATCGTTAAGCGATAAGCAAATTGTTAGGTTAAGAGGTGAGATCACAAATTCTGCGGGCATAAAGAAGCTGGTGTCAGAGGATGAAGATTTCATTGGGAGTTTGATATGTGCCGAAATGTTTGAGAATATGGTACATGTGGCGAAAGCTGTGGCAAGAATTGCAAAAAGATGTCATGATCCGAGTTTGAAGAATTTTGAGCATGCTTTTGATGACTTGATCTTGACTGGAACTGACCCGAGTGGCTGGGAATTTACATCAAAGAAGATGGAGCAGAAAGTTAAAAAGATGGAGCGTTTCATTTCAGTGAATGCTACTTTGTATCAAGAGATGGAATTGCTTGCAGATCTTGAGCAAACACTAACGAGAATGAAGAGTTGTGAAACAGAACCAGAAAATTTGCTAGAGTTTCAGAAGAAAGTCAAGTGGAAGCAACATGAGGTGAAGAGTTTGAGAGAGATATCTCTTTGGAAAAAGACCTATGATTATACGGTCCGCATTTTGGCAAGATCATTGTTTACAATATTCAGTAGGATCAAATATGTCTTTGGAATTGAACAGCCTGTAGATGGTGGAGATTCAAGCATGAAGAATTCTGATTTTATCTATCGCAGCCAGTCTGTTTCTGCTTTGATGCAATCATCAGTACATCCAGCTGAGAATTCTAGCATTCCCAGATTTTCATCAGGTTCTCTTGCAATGTTTACCAATGATTCAGGCCTGATGACAAACACTAACAAAACAAATTATTTCCATTCTGGTCCTCTTGGTGGCTCAACCACAAAATCAGGTTCTATTGCTAGAAAAAACAGAAAATTTAACTTCCATTCAGGTCCCCTCGGGAGATCAGCTGCAAAGTCAGGATCAATTTCTGGAATGGATAAAATCAGCAAGAAGTTTTGGCAGAAGCAGAACCGTCCAGCCATCCCGAATGCGAAGAAGCCATATTTGACAGCCAACCAATTTACTCAAGTGGGACCTCTCAAAGGATGCATGGTAGGTGCTGATAGTTCAACTGTTGTCAACTGTAATACAAGTTCAAATGGTGTTCATTCAGGAATCCTCAACGGAACCAGGGCTGGAAATTTACTAGAACTTCCTGAGGGAAATGCTGTTCAAATTAATTCATCAGTCTTCAGATCACAGCGCAGGTTTTTGGTTGCCCCTCCTGAAACTCTGGGTGCAACTGCTTTGGCACTGCACTATGCAAATGTTATTATTGTCATAGAGAAACTGGCAGCATCTCCTCACTTAATTGGTCATGATGCTAGGGATGATCTATACAACATGTTACCTGCAAGTGTAAGAGCTGCACTTAGGGAAAAGCTTAAGCCATACTCAAAGAGCTTAGCTTCATCAATTTGTGATGCAGTGCTTGCAGAAGAGTGGACTGATGCAATGGCAAAAATATTGGAATGGTTGGCGCCATTAGCTCATAACATGATTAGGTGGCAATCTGAGCGGAGTTTTGAACAGCAGAACCTTGTTTCCAGGACCAATGTGCTTCTTGTGCAAACCCTCTATTTTGCAAATCAAGAAAAGACAGAAGCCATAATCACTGAGCTTCTTGTTGGCCTGAATTATGTCTGGAGATTCGGTACAGAACCCAATGCCAAAGCTTTGCAGGAGTGTGCTAGTGATAGAACTTTTAAAGAGTTCTTGGATCTAGAAAAATAGCATCATTTTTCATCTGAGTTACAGTATTCTTGGGTATGACTAGCATCATCCTGTATGTGGGCAAAGTTCCACTGCCTGGCTAGCCGTTACGCGACCTGCCAATATCATTGCTCATGCATCAGAGGGAACAGTCCAGGCCACCCGCAAAATACAGCGAAGGCATGATGAGTTCTTTACTGGTTAAAATTATGAGCTTACATATACTAAAGGTTATACTTCTGGTTTTCTGGTAAGTGCTGATAATCCTTTCCCTGGTTCTGAAGATTGTTTTGCTATTATAAATATATAGTAGGCTTTTCACTCCAGGGAATGTGTATATTATTCAGCAATACCCTTTTGTTTCAGTTGTATGATTAGTTCCTTCATATATTGGAGATCTTGTGGTTGAGGTTGAGTATGCTTCTTTTGGAGAGGCCCCCAATGGCTCATGATGTTGCATTATTTCTTCCTCACCTAATTCCTCCCTAAAATTGACTTTTATTTATTAAACATGTTCCTATCATTATTTCGTGCGCGGCTTCCCTATTCCTAGTACTAATCCAAAGTAGTTGCTTGTAACCCATAAAGTAGTGCATTTGATTTAATCAAATTTTTTTGTCCCAAGAAATAAAAATGGTTTTGAATGGAAAAGTATAAATAGTATATACCTTAGGATTATTTCCTTACAATAATTTTTTTATTTAAAAAATTGTGGTCTTAATAGTTTATAATAAATAATAAATTATCAAAATTTTATATAAGTAAAATGAATAAAATTTTTTATAAGCGATTCTATCTCATAATTTATATAAATGAGTAATTTTATTTTTAAAATGCAAAAAGATAGATTGCATATTTTATAATTATTGTCCAATTATTGTCTACGGGAGGGCTCCGTCAATGTGGATGGTCTCTCTCTATCAAGTGTTGTAAAATAGCCTACTTCTAATCAATGAACTTTTTAGACACATGGTAAAAGAAATCATATTATAAAAGAGATTAATATTTATTAACATGATTTATAAAAAAATTAAGTAAAAAATATTTTAAAATTACATAATTTTAATAAAAATATTATGAAAAAAATTAAAATTTTTGAAAATTTTCTAATAAAATTTTACTAAAATAGAAATTTTTTTCGTTAACTTTTTATAATACAAACTGCTACCCTTATTTTCAAATTATAAAATATGCGGTCTTCTAACTGCTATTTCTTTTATTTATTTATTATTTTTTTTTAATGCTTTCTAATTGCTATTTCAATAAAAAAATACAACACGGTTAATATTTTTTCACCGTCATTTAATAATTTAATGGGGCTTTGTTATGCGACATTTGTCTTGTAATTAGGATAATCTCAATAATTAACTAAGTAATGGTGGTGAAAAGCGAGCTTACTATAAAGCGTGCCACGCGCTAAATTCCCCCTTTGAACGGCAGCTACCGTCTCTTTTCATTCTTTCTCCTCTTTTCTAACGTCGGAATTCAGAATTCCCCGGAGTTCCATTTCTGGAGAATCGAAACGGAACGAAACCAGAACGAATTGGAGAACTTCAATTGGCGCCATAGTAACATCGAGGCAGCGTCGGAGGAGCTCTATCAGGGACTCCCCTAAGTGCGAGAGGATGGAGGGTGCTGGCAGTTGGGAAGCTCTCGAATGGACCAAAACTGAGGTATCTCCTCCCATTCTAGGGGGTTTCTTCCGCAATCGCATGTGCATACATGTTTCATCAATTCAATTGAACAATTGTTTCTGAATTTTCCCCCTTTTTTACTTCCCGTTTTGTTGTGTTTAATTGGCGGCAGCCGGTTACGAGGTCTGTTTCGCATCTGAATTTAGACTGCTTGCTTGAAGCTGAGCGCGTCATAGTGGAGGTAAACTTCTCCATTTGCTCAAGGATTATGTCGCCACAGAATTCTGTTATTATTGTTTCTTGAATAATGGTTGCGGGGCAACATTCTAGGTTTATTTGAGGGGCAATGAGATTAGAAGAAACAGTTTTTTATAGTGTGGTAATAATTACTTGACATTTTATTTTGCTAACGATTCTGTGGTTTAGAGCTACATAAATCCTGAATGTTTGCTTCTTGGCATTATTTATGTAAGGAAGTATTGTTTTCTGTTGCTCTTAAAGTTGCGGTGAGTTTAAGTGAAAGGGAAGTTGAAGAATGAGATCAAGGGCTGTTTCAATAGAATGAACTGATGAAGATGCCTTTTGCCAATGTTAGATAGAAGTAGTTCAATGTTACATGTAACAATATTGAAACATTTATTGCCAGGTTGTTGTTTCCTTTTGCAAAAACAGGGTTCATTAAATTTTTGGATTTTTGTTTCAGGGGTACGGTGTTGTTCTTGTTAACATTAATGTGGCTGGTACCTTATTTGTTACCAACTTTCGTCTACTCTTCCTGGTATGTGAAAGTGATGCACGCAATTTATTCTGCAGAGAAGAAAATTTGAGTTTGTGAAATGTGCATGCATTGTTGTTGTCTGAATTCAATCCTCTGTTGCATTAGTGGCTTACGTATCGAAAATAATAATAATGATAATCTTTTGTTGCATTTTGCTGAGCTTGAGTGACATCTGTTTTTGTAAGATGTTAGATACATGTATCATACTTACATTTAGGTTTGTAACCATTAGTATGTCTTTATGCTCTTACACCCCATCCCCTGGTTTTACAAGAGTGAAGGAACCAGAAATATTGTTCCGCTCGGGACTATTCCACTGGCTACCATTGAGAAGTTCAACAAAATGGTGAGTTTTCTTCGGGCTACAGTCTAAAGATGTTTTGTTTCTTTAATATGTGGTGTCACTTTAATTGGATGCCTTTATCCATTAAATTGAATCTTTCTTATGAGTGTGGAGGGCATGTTTATATTTAACACTTGAGGGGCGTGCTTGTAGGCAGTAAAGATTCAATCAACTCCTCGTAATACTGACAAAGCTTCGCCACAAAGGCTTCTTCAGGTCACTGGTATGCTGCTTAACAATTTTGATGATTCCATGCATGGGCTACTTTTGTATTTTTTTCTCCCAATTTGATTGAAGTCGTAGTCAAGGAAATTTTTCAATCTCTTATTTTTTCATTTTTCATTTTTCATTTTTCTTTTTTTGTCACTGTTTTGTGTCATTTTGAGGACATGGCTTGGGGATGAAAGAAGTAAAATTTGGGCTGACCGAACTTTAATTTTCAGTTCCAAAATTTGGAAATTCCTCCCATTTCTGAAGTTTGAACACACCCAAAAACTCATTGTTACTGACCTCACTGTTCCAATGATATGGTATACTTGTCTTAAGACACCTGTGCTGTTATTGTTATCCGCTGTATAAGCTATTCTCTCTTTTTACTTCCTTTCGTTATTACTGCTTTGCCTGGTGATTTGTAGATTTAATTGGTCTCTCTCAAAGGTGATAATGAACACTGGGTGATCTTGTTTTGCAGGCAAAGATATGAGAATTATAGTGTTTGGTTTTCGCCCTTGGACAAAGCAGGTGTTAAGTTTTAACTGCTAATGCTCTTTCCTCTCTTGTTTGTGTTATCAATCTAGTAAATAATGTATGCCAAAATAATAGTAATAATAATAACCCAAGATTTCTTACAGAGACGTGCCATCTTTGATGCATTAGTGCGTTGTACAAAGCCAGAAAGAATTTGGGATCTTTATGCTTTCACATGTGGACCTTCCAAATTCAGTAACACAAACCCAAAGGTGCGATTACTGAATGAGTATTTCCGTCTCCTCGGAAGAGGTTTCCATCACGCTTCAAAGAGTATGATTGAAGATGAGTCATTTACCTTTTCTAATGACTTGTGGAGAATAAGTGATAGAAATTCCAACTATACAATGTGCCAAAGTTATCCATTTGCCTTGGTTATTCCAAAAAGCATTAGGTAAGATGTTGAGATCTTTTAATCCAGTTAAAGGAGAAAGGAGAAAGAGAACGGATCTCTTCTTTTTTATTTATCTCTCCATTGATGATAAGGTCAATTCTATATCTATGATATAAGTTAGCAACTATCAACTTTGCATTGCCATGCCAGTGATGAAGAAGTATTCCAGGCCTCCACCTTTCGTGCAAGGTGTCGGATACCTGTTGTTTCATGGTGTCATCCAGGTTATAAATCTACCTGTTTTCATTTTTAACTAATATATTTTTCAATACTTTTATTTTGAGGTGCTTGGTAAATACAGAAAATGGAGCAGTTCTTGCACGCTCATCCCAGCCTTTAGTTGGTATTATGATGAATACGAGGAGGTACTTTTCAGTTTCCACTTTATTTCCGCAATAAGTAAAAACGTAGATAATTATTTTGACCAGTAAATATTCAACAAAAATAGACAATGAAAATAATGATCATGAAAAATATTAATAGCATTTTTCAAGGCTGGGAAATGAACCATCTAAATCTCCTTTTTTTCTCCCCAAATTTTTTTACAGTAACGCTGATGAAAAGCTTGTAGCTGCACTTTGCACTCAACTTGTTGGTGGAGGGCAGTTAAGGAGGTGCCCTTTTCATTCTTCTGTCGTTTGATTTAGTAAAACCTTTTTATTGTGCTACCCTACAGCTCACAAATTATAGAATGTGTTTTGTAATCTTAATTGACCATTCGTTTCTTCTCTTTAAGCACTTGATGTCAAACAGGACACTAATAATAGCCGTGAATTTTTTACATTTTTATTATCATGATTGTTTTTGCTCTTCTGTGAGACATCTATTTTTCTGGCTTGCATTTTTATGCTGCGATTCAGTATGAAAAAAAATAGTCTTGTTTTTGGTCTTTATGCTACTTTTTTCATTTTCCAATTAGGAAGCTATACATTGCTGATGCAAGACCAAGGAAAAATGCTTTGGCTAATGGAGCCATGGGAGGTGGCTCTGAGTCATCTTCAAATTATTTTCAATCTGAGGTCTGCCTAGAGTTTGAACAGATTGGTTGTGCATTTCTGGCTTTTGATCTTTGACATACATTGCTAGCTAATTCACATATCTTCAATCCTATTTGTTCTCATGTCAGATAGTTTTCTTTGGGATAGACAACATACATGCAATGAGAGAGAGCTTTACTCGGCTTAGGGACTACTTAGATACTCATGGTGCTGCATCATCAGATGGAATGTCATCATTTTTGGTCAGTATTGAGGCCTAGTTTATTGAATATCTCCATGCTTTATGCTATCAGCATTTATCTTCTTCTTC